AGGATGGTATGATCTTAGCTTCACTTCTTCACTTCAGAAGAAAAGACTTGACTGGATCAAGATATCATTCAGCTGTGAAGATCTGTTAAAATTAGGACTCAGTTTCAACAAAGAGGGAGCTTATTTCACGCATTTTGTGGTGCCCTCTCCACCCCCCCAAAAAAAGCAATTAACTCCAGCTAAATAACATTTCAAGAATAAAGAAGCTACAAACATGAAAATTCAGTCTTCATTTTATTAAAAGATTTGTTCTGTTGGAAGAATGAATAAATTTGTATCTGCAAAATGTTACAAGCAAACAAAACCTTTGCTTATGGGCATGCTCAGACTTATTCCACTACCATTTTCTGAAAAAGAGCATCTAGAATATTGTAATTCATAGCAAATTGATCATTAATGAAAAGATTCTGGGATTTATATTGCATTACAAAGCGAGGTACATTTTTACTTTCCTTATCTGTTCCAAAAACATCAACAGTTCAAACACTGTTCTATTCCAGAACAAGTATGAATTCAGATTATTCCATTCTCAGGCAGATTTACCCTAGGGGAAAGAGAAAGGAAGACAGCTAAGAGAAATTATGAATCACTATCTCACTCTGTTTTAGCACTGCTCAGTGCTGTAAGCAGATTCCCAAGCACAGGAAAACATGTGCAAGTCTTCCCTTTGCACGTTGGATCAGGACACCATCCACTTCTATTCCTTGTCACCAACTCATTTCCAAATTGAATATTCTATCCCATAATTTAGCTCTTCACAGCACACGCACACACACACAAAAAAAAAATTAAATGCATGACTGATGAAAAAAAATGAAAACAATAAATCTGAAATATAATGAGCTGAGGATATAATGTAAGAACACTCAGTAGTAGCCTTGGACAAGCTTGTAATGTTGTGTTATTACAAACTTGTATGATGCTAAATGACTAAAGACAGTAGAGACAGAAGAAAGTAAAAAATTACAACAGCAATCAATATTTCAAGACCCATTACCACATGTCCGAACACTAAAAATCACAATGACATGTATTCTCATTTTAGCACAAACCCAGCATGAAAATTAAATACAACTACAGATTAAGCCAGAGTGTCATTATAAATACAATTAGATACCTTGTTGAATCTGAGTCTCCAAAAGAAGCACTTTGTTACTATAACCAAAGATGGCCAGATGCAAAATTAAAAGAACTACAAAGCAAAAAAAGTCCATTAGAAAAAGAACTGAAGAACTGCTAGGTGCAAGTGCCAGATATGTAAACTCTGAGGGCTTTATTCTGTTTGTTCAGCACCTGGCACAGTAAGAGTCTGGTTCACACTCAATGTCCACAACACAATTAACTAAAAAAGCTGCTTAGTAAGAGATTGTTTTAAATGACTGAATGGGTACTTTGAGGGGGAAAGAGACTTTAAATTTTATCAACTACTGCAAAATATTCTATGCCTAACTGCCATCAGTTAGATCCTAAAAGCATTATTTTATTCCTTTTTAATTCAGTTTGACCACAGCAGTCAAATCCACCCCTCTCTCATCAGCCTCAGTGAGAAATTATTTTTCAGAGTTGGTGCAGACTCCACAATTACTACTCATGCCTTGCATTTTCAGTCATGCTGCTAATGAAATTATGCACTGATTAATAATGGTATAAGAATCTAGACCATTGATTTAATGGGGAAGCATGTGACTAATTCCTGAAAACCACAGAAAGCCGCTTTCTTCCTACTCACACATACTTGTGTCATACATGTCCCTGCATTTTTTTTGCACATATCTTCATCAGTTCTCTTTCCAAACCAGTTTCTATATTTACTTCTAATATCAGTCTCCCTTCTCTTTCTTATTCATTGAGCATGCATACCAGAGGTTTTTAACAGTCAGAAGTTAAGCATATAATAAAATCTGAAAATACAGTAAATCTTATTTTGACACTGTCAAGCACAGAAGTGTTTCCAGACCTTTACCCCAAATCTTATTCTTCAAAAATAAAAGTTAGATTTCATATTTTAAGGAAAATATATAATTATTTATACTCTTATTTAAATATAATACACTTTTATTTAAAAATTGATGGAGGGGGTTATTTACAAAAGAAAAAAGCATTACATGCTAAAAAAGTCAGTTATGTAGTTCTGAAGATGCATGGTTTCAAGAAAAAAAACGTGCGGAGGAACACAAGCTTGCAATAAACAAGTATGGAGAAGAGTATTTTTGACTGTAAACAAATACACACTAGTGTTGTTAAAGTAGAATGTGCATCAAATCTTATTCACAAAAAAACCTATCCATGCTCTTCATCTGTACAATCTGTGGAAAAGGAACTGGAAGAAGTTAGGAAAGATGGGAAGACAGGAAAACTCTCGTATCACAAAAATACGTTAGGATTGGATTTATCTATGTAGTTAATTTAAAGCTTTGCTTTAAAACATAAACTTTATCTTAAAAATCTTTTTTTTTTTGCTTTAGAATTTTAATCTAAAAACTAGCCTTTCTATAAAAAACATTCTTTTAAATTTTTGCTTTTAAAACTATCCTTGTTAGACAAAATATTAAATTATACAGGCACAGTTAAGTTAAGAGGATAAGAACTCATATTACAACCCTTTGTTTTCCAGTAACTTATTACACAGTCCTAAGATTTTGTGTCAGCTGATAATCATATGGAGAATACATAATGGAAGTCAATTTTTATATCAAAATTATTAAAAAAAAATCTGTCAGGCTACAATTGACTTGCAAAGGAATTTTGTTTCCAGCTGGTTTAAGTACATCCACATCTTATTTACCTATGAAATATGCACATGCATCAAGAATTTACCCTAAACTCTTTTTAAGCTGAGCGTTTTATGGCAACAGCATTTCTCTTTACTTCAGGTATTGTATCTAAAAACACAGCATTTTGAAGTCACTCTTATTTCAGTCCAAGCTAGCAACCCTGGACACTTTAGAAAAGAATCAAAGTTTGTGATATTTTTTTTTCTTTTGTTCTCTTTTGACTATTTTTGCAAATGCACAGATATGCCATGCAACAGCAGGGAGAGCAGGGTCTTGTCTTTCATGCTTTAATAATCTTTTTATATTTCTTGCATTCTGAAAGACTGTACATGTATAGAATCAAAGAGCTTTAAAACAGAATATATGTATGTAATATTCCCAATTGCAGATTTAACTCAATACAAGAGAACAGAGTTTAATCTTGCATTTAAAGCACAGAAATATCTGGAAGATTGGTGCTCAAGTCTCTTAAATATTCCTTAATAAAACGGGTTGTCGCCATAATAGCTCTGAAATAAAAACTGTGGTCTTTTGTGCCATAGGAACCATAACGGTAATTAGACCATCCATGGCCAAACATGAATTTGTATGCAATATTTTTTCTTAATTCAGCTAAAAAATTTAAACCGATATGTAAATATGTACATTTAATAAGTTTTGATGAACTTCATTTTGTGTTTGATTTTACTTAAATTTTACTGAGCTTTAAAAATTAAGGAACATTTCAATCCACAGTATACAAAAAATTTCGACAGGAATACATTAAATTAAAACCCAAGAAAACTCACGAATTCACACTTATGGTTGAAATTTTGGAGCAACTCATTGCTAATTGTTCATATCATAACTTTTCCTTCCCCACATTGAACGATATGAAGTTTATAGGTAAACTGAATCAAGAAGCTACTAAAAGCAAGAAAAACTAAAAACCTTAAGCCTATGTTTCTTCTGGAATTTGAGATATCATTATAGCCACCACCATTTGAACATGCCCTGGAAAGACACATTTCCTTACCATTATTGCTTGATGAAAGCCCACAGTGACTTAGTTTTGTCCAAAACTAGCTGTTTTGGACAAGGTTTCAGGGAAAAAAAAAAAAAAAGACACCACCACTATATAACAACATGTACAATAACGTATTTTTGAAGAAAGCACTGAACTGAACTGTATCATACTGCATTAATTTCAGTGCCACTCCAAAGGAATTATCTATTTCACGTTGAATGAGGTGTGCATATACACAAACACAAGATACATACATATAATTCACCCCAGATTAATACATCTTCATTTAATTTCAAGCATAACAACTGAGTTATTTTCTGGACTTGAAAAGCCAGTGGAAAAATGAGAACAGGCACAAGTATGAATATAGCTCCTAATTTACCCTATTTTAGTGCACTATTATGCACTGGTAATACGACAAAACACATGATACCATTTAAGCTTGCAATTTTTCAGATGTATAGGCGAAGTCTTGTCAATAGGGTTCTAAGTGCTTTTAATGCAAACACAACTTCTGCAGCTTTACACAGTAGAACAGTGCAATATGTAGTGTGCCCATATTACAAGAACAAGTGCTTAGTTTACAGCTGTACTTGTTTCACATTAGACTGGCTTTGCGCTTTCTGCAGCTGTAGCACTTCAGCTGCTTTTATTAGGACGACCTTTTTCATCCCCCTTTTTTGTTCCCCCTCCTCAATCTTCCCAGGTGTCGGCTAATTAAAAGTCACTGTTTTGGTGGTTAGCTCTCACCTGGTAGGACAAGACAGTTCCGAAGCGACGGTACAGCAGAGGTTCTTCTAGAGGGTCGGTTCACAGTGCTAGGGTGACCCCTATCTCCACTTACCTCCCAGCTCCTTATTTTGGAAGCAGTTTGCTCTGGCTTCTTCGGAAAGGATCCTGATCCAATTTTCTGCCGCTTTTCAGGAATCCCTGCGATGACTGTTGAGTTCAAAAAGGTCCTCTTTGGTTTCCTCCTTACCTTCATTTTTTTAGCATCAGGCTTTTCTTTCTTACGATGCTTTCCCACTGTAGTCTTCTTTGTCTGGTGCCTACAGATGGAGAAGGCAGAAGACTTCTGGGTATGAGGAGGGAGTTTCCTTCTTAGCTTCTTTCCCTCTTTTTGCTGTTTTTTAGTTCTAGAAGTTTGTTTGACTGGGTTTACTCTGTTTCCTCTCCTCCCAACAGTACATCTGACAGACCTAGGTCCTGCAGCCTTTTTGGAAAAACTTGGTTCTTTATTAGGGCCTTCTTTTCTCTTCCATCTCGATTTGGAATTTTCTCTCTCTAATCGCTCACTCTTGACAGAAGTCAAAGGGATTTTGGCAGCTCTACCACTAAATGGAGTCAATCTACCATCTGTTTCCATCTGAGACGGGTGAGAGTTCAAAGGCGAAATGATCAGGTGTTTAAAAGAGTTCTCAGAATGACCAGATACCAGACCCTCCGATCTTTCTGTGGAAACAGAAGATCCATCTGTCTTTTGACTTGAGGCTATATCATTCCCTTTACCAGAATCTGGCAGGAAAGATACTGAACTATTGAAGTCGGACCAATTAAAGGATTTTGAAGGCATGCCCTCTTTCTGGAAATCGGCTACTTTCCTTGTGTTTTCATCAAAGCTGAGACTTCTGAAAAGCTGTCGGATATGAGAGGGCTTTTTGGCCTTTTCTCCACCTGTACTCTTAGGAGGCGTTTTCAGAATTCGATTTGTCAATGGGTCATAATACTTGAAAGAACACTGTTTATATTTATACCTTATAGAGTCCTTGCTATCTGTGGAGTTGCGATTTTTCATCATTTTGGGAATATCTGTAGGTTTACTTTTACACTGTTTAATTTCTGGACATGAAAGCACATAGACCACTGTCTTCGGCTGAACAGGGCTCATAATCTTGCTATAGGACTCGGGAAGTTTAAGGGCACATAGTCTAGTTTTCATGTTTGGAGTGTTTTCATTCTCTGGCCACACAATGTTTGCTTTTTGATCAGCTGGATCGGGTTCCTTTCTAGCCATTTTTCTTTTTGCTACAGGGTAGTTCACTAGACTTGTTTGGGTGCCACGGCTCACTTTAACCACTTGGCATCTTGAAGCCAGGCGCCATGTCCTTTTCCTGGGTGTTTTAAGAATCTGTGGGTTGCATAGTGTATCTGAGGCTAAAAATGGGTTATCAAAATCAGAGCCACCACTTAAAGCATCATTGAATTCTGGCAGTGCTTTAACAGATGCACTTTCAGTTCTATTACCCTCAACAGTATCATTCTTCTTTTCATCTTTCTGCTTCTTTTTCTTTATTCTCTTCCCTGCACATTTGGCTGAGGACTCACTTTCAAAGTAGCAGCGAAAACGACCTTCCCTGAAATCACGCACAAGTTCTTCAATTTTTATATCATCTTCATGCATTATTTGAGACCAAGTCTTTCCCACGAAAGAAGGAGGCACATGAGGCAGAGCTGGAAGAACCGGTTCTTCTTTAGTATGAACTAACACATCCTGTTTTGGTGCTTCTGTTTGCTCCATAGACTCACTTTTTAAAACAGAAAAAAGTTGTGTTCCATAGTCTTTATCTTGCAGACTTATTTGGACCTCTTTCAGGAATCCTATATCTTTTATAGCTGCCTTAGGTAAGTCCATTCCTGACTGAATAGGTGCATCACAGTTAAAACTCACTTCAGAGCCCTCTAAATGAGTATGGTCCAGAAGCGAAGAAAAAGTCAAACAGGGATTATTCTCTTCTTCTTTGAAAGGTAGTTCTTTAGAAGTAGTTTCATGGCAGTATTTCAGAATAACATCTTCAATAGTTTCATCCACTGAACTTTCATCAGCTCTGTTCATCTTCATTTTTTTGCATCTTGCTAGCTGTGGGGATGTCCCAAGATCTAGGGAGCTGTTGATACCCACAGTATCCCTGAGTTGGAAGTCAGACACCAAAGTTTCACCCTGAGTTTGTAAACCATCACGTTTTAAGAGAGATTGACCTGAGGTAATACATAAAGAATTGCTGGGGCTGCACGTAGGGTTCTGATACAAAACAGAAGGTCTTTTGGGGTGAACCAGTGCCAGAGCAGGATTCAAGCATGGGTTCAATAAAACATCCTTACCGCATACCTCCGTTCTTTTTTTATCATGTCCGCTATGTGGAATCACAGTTGACGCCATCAAATTCCTTACATTTTTTACTATTTTAGGATTAACAGAAGAACTATGAATTAAAGGACTGACAGAAAAACATTGAGGTACTGCGTTCACAGCTGCAAACTGGCCTTCATGGCTATGATTTGCAATTTGAGTATCTGTCAGGGTATGCCTTTTCTCACCGCTACAGATCCCCACAGACTGCTGGGATATTCCCGTAATGTGTTCCTGTCCTTTTTCTGGTTTCTGGATAAACGCCTCTGTTACAAAAGTCTCCTTTGTGCCCTTATGAGATGCAGAAGATCTCATTTCACCGATGAACTCCTGATCTTTGCTGGAAACTTCCTGTTTGCTTCTGTTATTCTTTTTCTCTGCATCTTCTGGAGATAGACAAGCATCTCTTGCAGTCTCTGGAGTGACAGGGAGCGGTATGTCATCATAGGTTGGTCTACAGTGAGAAGAAGGAAAAAAAAAACCCTATATAAATACTGCAAGTACACTTAATATTTTTAAACAAAAGTGAAAAATAAATAAATCCCCCAAAAAATATAGAAAACTATAGTGCATTACACCTAAAGAGTAAAATTAGGTTACTGGCTTTTCTACCTTAGTAATGAGGTTCAGAGATTCCATTGCAGAAAAAAAAAAAAAAGTATCTCAAAGAGTGGAAGAGTGAGAAAATGCTGTACAATGCTAATGATGCCAATTTGGAAATTTGTTTGTTAACCTGCTCATGCACCCATCTACTAAGAACAGTCAAAGAGACAATACTATAATTTTATATAGAGAGCAGAGCAAGACTGGGTGTTTTTCTTTGTTCTGAGCTGTGAACTTACAAAAAATTCATTTCATTGTTAAAACTATATTTAAGTTGCTGCAAATAAATGGAACATAACATTGCATACCATAAAAATGCAACTGAAATGCTACATGATGCTACAATGCTACATAAAAATGCTACTGAAAACAGCTCTTTCACTATAAAATGTGGTTGTCCAATAGAATTCTGCAGATAATACAGGAATTCCCATGCTTGTTGCTTCTCTCAGAAAATGCCCAGCTTCAGACTTACTTCTATAGCAAGCCACGCTATGACTGTTCAATCTCTTTGTGACAAAACAGCAGATTTATATATATATATATATATATATTCTACAATGAATATTCTTTAAAAGTCCTATCTTTAGGACCACCTCAAATGGGTTTGTTCTGTTAATTTTGTAAGATACAAATGTAGATACAAAATAGTCTCCATCTGTCTTTGTTCTTAATTCTGCAGGATTTCTGTATTTCTCTAATGCATCACATGATTCCACAAAGATTCAATTTGTGTACAATTTGTGTACAACATCTGGGAAATCCAATGAAAATACTAAAAAATTAAGTAAATACAACCTAAGAGAGAGAATAGGGCCCTTCACCTAGAAATTATAACCAGACTTGCAAAAGTCAGAGGGATGCTTGCTTCAGCACATGGCAGACAGCCTCCACTGACTCCATTATAGTGCATTTACCTGCCCACAGAAAGTAATTTCCTTCGAAGCTGACAAAAGTTACTACTAGAAGTGCAAGTTTCCAGAAGAAACATACATAGGACCACAAAAAAAAAAGTCATACCTGGAGCCACCTACTTCAAACTGATCCACTACTGAATCTCTCTCTGCATACTCATTTTATTATCATTTAATCTCCAATCATATTTTCCTTAGCATGTTATAAGCCACATAAAGAACACGTCAAAAATCATGCTAAACAAGGTAGATGGCATCCAGATGGTTCTCCTCTATTCACAAGGTCTGTTATCCTGTCAAAGGAGGAAATTAAAATGGCCTGACATGATTTGCTCTGATAAATCAGCAGTAACTGTAACTTAGTATTTCATAATCCATAGTCTCATAGGTTCGCTTTGCTTGCTTACTTCTCAGGGAAATACTACAACTTAAGCAAAGACATCTATAAGACCATCCCCTCTTGGCCTCTACTAATAAATGACAGTTTCTACATTTCTTCTTTCTTTCCCAGTCTTTCTGAAACATCACACATTCTCTGTGACCTCTCAGAAACAACTCCCAGACTGCATCGTGGGGTACCTGTACTCAGTATTGAGAGCTAAAATCCCTATTCATTCACGTCACAGGAACTACAGAGCCACTAACATGCAGCAATTACATCGCAATTTGTAAACTATGTAGTTCAATGAAGATGTATTCTATTAAAATATCATGTTCTTTTTTATGAAAGGTAAGAATAATCAGTTTGCTTAACAATATATAGAACAAAATGAGGAAAAAAAAAAACAAATAACTATCAACACATTTTAACAAGTTATATTTGAGATGCAGGTACTTGACAACATCTACTTTCCTGGGGAGTAAATTATGTGTATGTGCACATACCCTATCATATTTTAATAATAAACAATTTAAGTGAAGGTAAGAAAACTAAAGTGATAAATGGCCCAGCTCACACACGTCAGAAGCAGGAAATTTGCAGAAGAGATGGTTGAGTTTGCTCATCTCTGTGGGTTAAATGAAGCAGCCACACAAAAACAACATCACTGAGATGCCAAATTTTATTTTTCCTCCTTGCTGTAAAGGTTAATTGATACCTGCCACAGTCCTGAGTTTTATTCCTAGTAAAGCATATGGGGTATAAGCACAAGCTCAGAGTCAAAAGAAAAGAAAATGCCAGAGCAAAACTTTTCTAATAGTTTATGGTTATAAAAGACTGGAGAGTGGCAAATGTAATGCTGATATCTAAAAAAGATAAAGTTCTAGGTGGCAGATAGCTTGTTTCTCCCAGTTAGAAGGTTCTGTTCACTAAATCAAATAACTTTTGATTTGCAACAGCTCAGGAAATACATGTAGCTGTTGCATTAAAGTACCTTCAGTATTTTTTAAATGGCAAAAAAGCTGGATGCTTTCAAGCTTGAAATACTGATTTATATATAGTGATGTGTTCACGTCACAGGCTAATTTGTCGCAGACATGTCTAACAGCCTGTTTTGCCATATATCTGATAGTATCAATACAATAGAAGCCTTTTCTGTCTAAACCCTATTTATTTGTTTATGAGATCTACCCTAGTATTTCACTTGAGTGATGCAGAACATGTTATTTGTGGATATAAGCCTGTGTCAACAAAAACAAACTGCTGAATATACAAGAAGGAACAAGAATACCAAAGAAAAAAAAGAAAAAAAAAGAAAAAGTTCTACATCGACATACTCTGATATATTTAAATTGGGCTTAAGACTGGGATTTTTTAATCACCTTGTAGAACAAAACAAAGCTGGTGGTTCTACAGGGACAAAACTACACACTCACAACTGTTACCACTCTTAAATACACTCATGACAAACAGAAGAACACTCTTCAAAATATGAGCATGAATGAATGGACCCATTAAGGTAGTTCATATAAGCCTTAACTGAAAGTGTGAATAATAATGAGGGATTAAAAAAAAAAAAAAAAAAAACCCCTAAGGAAATCCAACCGCCACTGTCAACAACTGAAAATTAAGAATTTTCAGTATGTACCACAAAATATACACATACAAATATAACTCTGGAGTGTATACATTATAGATTTAGTAAATGCACATCAGGCTCTAGTCTACCAAGATCCCAGCTGCCCCATATGTTCCTACTGTCATCAGGTCTTCACACTCAATTGCTATCAAAAAGCTGTATTGAATCATTAAGTAATGAAACAGTTTGGATGCAAGTGGGGAGAAAACAGAAAAATAATCTACCTTGACCAATAATAGGCTAAATTTACTGCTCAGCACAACAGAAATAAGTACTCACAATATATACATTCTACAAATGCACACACACACACAAAAATATCTGTGTTATACCTGCTGTCATGGTATCTGTGTGGATGGTGCTGCAAAACGTCTTGCAGGAAACGCTCCATCAAACTACTGGTACCCATACGATTCCTACAGTAAGTGGTAAAATGTCTGTGTTGGGAGCTGAAAACATGCTGATGAAAGATGAAACAATAGTATTAAATTAGCAATATATCAACACAGTGACCCTTCCATAAAGATGACTTTCTAGTTTGAATATTAAACTGTTACAACAGAAACATCTAAACAAAACATTATTTTTTCAGTCTTTTCTATTCTTTAATACCTTGATTCAGTGAGATTCTTAAATACTCAACTGAATTAATTTAATAGCCACAATAAGGAATCACAAATAACCCTAAAATGTGCTTCTTGGTACTTCTTGCCAGCTGTTCCCAAGTTACGCAGCAGCTTTCCTACCTGTTCGAGATTACTGTAGTGTACATGGCAGCAGTTGCAGTATCCTTGTCTATTTTGCACAGTGGCTACACCAGGTCCAAGATGTTCTTGTCCTCTTGTGTGTAAACTGAAAGTTAATATAAAAAAGACTTGTCACTGAGAAAACAAGAACTGTTAGACTGCAAGTTCAAGGGTTTAAGATGAAAATCCTGAATATCTATGACATCCTATAGAGGTGGAACAAACCTGTATCCCTAAGATTTCTATTTTAAAATCATAACGACAAGCAGCATTATATATTTTTAAAGTATTCCTAAGCAAATGTCACTAAAGAAAACATTTTATTTAAAGCAGAATGAAGCATAACAAGTATTGAAGGCACAGGTGAACACAAATTCTAATTTCAGTTAGTCATAATCTGACAATAACTCTCTTGAGAAAGAAGCAGAGCCATCTTCGCATTCTTCTCATCATATAGAATGAAGACCAAGAAATTTTGACATCAGTGATATTACGTTTTGGTCACAACAGTGCCCCTTCCCTACAGTTTTTACTAGTTGCTAGCTCCATGCGCTTGATCTGCGCTGTATCATTGATCATCAATCACACACGATTACAGACAAGGTCGAAAAATACATCCTTCCTGTTTCACGTTGCATAAGCAGTAAGTTGCACACCAGTCAGACATCATTAACTCACCTGCTATTACTCCCCTGCTGTAGAGAGCCTTCAATACCATGTCTTCCCATTCCTATAGCAAAAATACAGAAAGTCAAACACAAGAAGTCAAGATCTTTAACTGTACCTAGTTATTTTCCTTACATTGTACTTGTCACAATTAGTATTTTAATAGAAGGTAAAAAAATTAGTAAGTTCAAGAAAACATTACAGAGATTCTTTTGTTCTCAAAAATCCACTACAATCTTTGTAAGATAAGCTCTGCCCTTTTTTGTTTCAAGTGAGCGGGATTTTTTCTATTGATTTGTCTGGGATGAAGATTAGACAACCTGCATTTAGACTGCTATACCCATAGCCACCATGATAAAAACGCAGCATATCTTTAACAGCTTACTGCACGACAAGAAAGTTGCATCTATACGGAAACTACATGGATGATTCAGAAGTTCCTTCTTTCATCTAAGATTCATGTTAAAATTTAGAAAATCAACTTATTGAATTGCAATTGAAATTACAAGGTGAACTATTACTTCTTATATTATTATGGTGAAAAAAGAACAAATTAAACAAATGCATCTATTTTAAATTACCTTGTGTGGAAGAAGCAGAAACTTCGTCAGATGGCTTGACTTTGTCAAACATCTGTAAGCCAAAAACATACCCAAGTATATATATATATATAAAAAAAAAAAAAACACATAGTAAAGCTTTACCTCAGCTGAATTTCAGCATGCCCAAGTTTTTAAAGAAGCACAGTATTATTCCAGCTATTTTAAAGCTAATTAAAGGCATCTGTGCTGTAAAAAGTGATTACTGCCTTACAAGGTTACTCTCGTATTCTATTCAACAGTGTTCTATATTATCCATAAAACAACTCCTGAGTGACTGCAAACTGTCAACAGCCACCAGCATTGGCAGTTGAAAAACTGCCAATGTTGGCTCAAACGCAGCAAACTATTTTATCCAACCCACTTGCCAGGAAAAAAAAAGTGGAACAGAAGCCTCTCTGATAGCACTTTTGAAGCTACATTTTAGCTTTGACAGAGCATGGGACAATTTCTGATCTAATAAGCAAAATATTTGACTTTGCTAATGAATACGGCTTAGATTGTTAGGCTGTTAAGCAATAACTTTGCAAATTCATTTAATGACAACTTCGTCAGTTACATGTGCAATACAGATGAAAAATGTATGTTAATTAAAAAAAAAATGACCCAAATAATCATCCAGGATGGAAAAATAATTATAATTGCTTTTATTCAAAAGATTTGCAAACCAACAGTGACTCTCAGAATTTTTAATTATTAAAATATGACTGCAACAACATGCAACTAAAAGTTTTAGGGAATCTAAACATAAAAGACTTCCAAGTTTCATGGTCCTTTACCTTATAGACATAAAATTATTTTATTGTACAAACCTTGATGTATCAATCTTTTTCTTCCACCATAGGTGATTCCAGGCTAGTAAAGAGTCGATGTCGAACAGGAGGCCATTTGCAGCACAGGACATTGATCTCTTCTCATCCCATCGGGCAACAACGAAGTTAAAGAGCTTTCTAAAATATAATTAATAAAGCACATTCTCCATACTCTAGAGCATGTCATTTTTTTCTCTATCAACTTGCCAACATGTCAGTCAACAAAAGGAATAGAAATCTTTTTGAAGTCCACTATGCACCTTCCTTTTTCCATTACACAAGTGTTTCCTACCTAAGTGCTGACTATTTCTCCTGAAATAACTTTGCTCTTCCCTCCTTCCTCATATTCCCTATCTATTAAATATCATTGTGGTAAATACATATATACAGAATTATATTTCTGTATTAATAGAAAAATTGATCAACATTAAACAAATTGAAATGTGCATTCTGGGCACAATTCTCTAATCTGCTCAAAAAATATTTTTTCTTTTGCTTTTCTTATGTTAGTTTAAAAAATGCAATTGAATTGAGTATTAGTTAAATTATTAGTCAGATATTGCAACAAAACACTAGCTGGTTATGTAAACTAGTTAAATATTGCAATAACATTAAGTATTAGTTAAATATTACAATAAAACTCTAACTGGAATTTTCATAGTTCACTGGAGATTCAAAGCATTTTAATCAATTAATCACTACATTCTCCACAAAACTGTATCATTTCCATATCACAAGCAGGGAAACACAGACATGGTCACAGTAATTTGCACAAGCACTGCCAGAATAATTACAGTGAAACCCCCATGTCTCATCTCAAAACTCGTGACTCAACAATTCCTAGACCTGCTCTTGGTTTACCAAACATATACGCCAGTGTAGAACAACAAACCTAAGGTTTCAACTCAAGCACTTTTTTTTTTTCTCCCGATAAACTGTTTTTTTTTTTGGTGGTGTTTTTTTTTTTTTTTTTTTTTTTACAAGAATCATGCTCTCCTTTCTGCTTTTTCATTCTCATATGGAAAAGATATTACACTCCTGTACGAGGCCTTTACCATTAGTCTCAGTAAAAAGACAGAAATACTGTATTGGGGAACTCAGATAATCATTCCACAGCCAGCAGGGGGCACCACATCTATTCATCCCAACTCCATTCCTCTAATTTGCCCCCAAAATGATTTACAGTGCATTATCTGTAAAAGTTTTATATTAAAAAAAAAAAAACTCTTTAATTTCCACTCATGGATGCCAAGTAGTGTCAGCTGTAGAATATTTGCTTTACTGGTTTATTAGTTTTTTCATTTCAAGGAATAAGAGCTTAGTCATCACATATACAATTATTCAGGCTACAGCCGTAAGTCAAGTCACACACAGACGGATCACAGTCACACCTGAGTTACCATCGCAGTAACCTTAAACAGCACAGGACGATTAAGGGGCCTACGTGGAATTAGTCCAGGCTGGATCTCTCTCCCACCTTTTGCAGCTGAACACTGAACAGAGCAGTCATCCTCATTCAGAAAGGGCTAAGCAAAACCTGAAAAATCCTGCATTATTGCTAAAAAAAATGGTAGGGCTTTATTCACATTTCAGAGAAGACCCTCCCCAGAGATACTTCTCTACACAGCTGACACACGAGAAGATATTTCCCTTTATCTCGATGTTTTATGAGAATATTAATGTACAGAAGGAAAAAAAAATCTCAATGAAAGCTATATCCAGGTTACCCCTTCACACTGTGCTCAAATCTCAGTCTAGCAGCATAAGGGGAATCTCCTACATAGATGCTGTATTTACATCCCAAGCCCCAGAATAGACTAGGAAAAGCCAGGAAGCAAAACCCAGTCTAATTCAGCGGAAAGAGAAACCATTTCTATAAATCCACCAATGATTTTTAAGATGTGTAGGCTTTGCACAGACACCTCTTATTTTGTTATGATATTTTCGACTTGAAATATTGCATTAGAAATTAATACTACCACAGTTCAAAGTGAACTTTTCCTATACACCTTTAGCTGAAGGATTTTACCATGGAAAAAGTTCTGCAACAAATATAAAAACAAAAACAAACAGCTGCACTTTGAAAGGTTTGATTTGGTTAACTTCTAACCCAAGCACTACTACTTCTTGGCTCTCTCTTTCGTACTTAGACTCTTTTTTTTTCTCTTTCTCCCTCCAAATTACTGAAGGTACCGCAGCCAGCGTGTGAAAATACCTCGAACAAGCACATTTAAAATGATTAGAAACAAAATCCATGAAGAGGATGCCAACAGTCATGAAACACACCTATAAAACCCAGCAGAGCTTGAAAACACATACAAATGCAGCAAGGCACCAAAATAACTCTGCAGGAGACACTACTCGCCTACTGCATGCAATAAATTTTAAATAAAAAGGGGAAAAAAAA